TGAGTGCCTGTGTCAACTAGGAAGTCTATTGGAATCCCTTCCACTTTGAGGGTTACCCTGGGTTCGGGGAGGGGATCCAAACCCCGACCCCTCTAATCACTGAGCTCATCCAGCTCCAAGATGTGGGCTTTATTGTAGGAAGAGTTGCCATTGTGTCGCTTTTGGGGGCACTCTCTGGCCCAGTGTCCAGTCTCTACAATAAGCACATTGGTCTTTCTGTAATCTTGGGTAGTCTCCCTGGAATGGCTCCTTGCCTTCACCAGCGGCAAGTCTCCGCAATTTTTGTTCCCGTACTTCAGAGGCGTCTGCCATAGAGACAAGCAAGATCTTGGCGAGGTCTCGTGTCTGCTTGTTGCTTACTCAGGTCTGCTTTTCCTCTGGGGTTTCTCTGTTGTTGTATGCCCTCTCAGCTACTGCAAGTAAGTCTTGCAAGGATTTGTCAGCTAACCTGTCTATTCTCTGAAGTTTCCTTTTAATATCAGGAGCTGACTGATTGACAAAGGCCATAATGACAGCAGTCTTACTCTCCTTGGCCTCTGGATCCATGGGCATGTAAGTACGGAAAGCCTCCATGATCCTTTCTAGGAAGGCTGCGGAAGATTCAGTCTTTTCCTGTTGGACATTCCCTACTTTAGCCAAATTAGTCAGCTTTCAAGCCACCTCTCAGAGACCACCCATTCGAGTCTGGTGGTAGACCCGGAGACTCTCCTTACCTTCAGCAGTGTTAAAGTCCCAGTCTGGGTGAGTCAGTGGGAATGCGGCATCTATTAATGCGTGGTTCGTAGTGGGATTACCATCCTAATCCAGAACGGACTTCCCTGGATTCTCTCTCTCTTCTCAGTAGTGAATAACACCTGTAACAGTTGCTGACAGTCATCCCAAGTGGGCTGATGAGCGAAAAGAATAGAATCTAACAAATCAATGAGAACTGTAGGTTTTTCTGAGAATTTAGGGGTTTGCATTTTCCAATTATACAGATCATTAGTGGCGAAAGGCCAGTAGTGAAGGGGCTGGGCCCCATCTTCATCAGCGGGTCCTACGGCCTAGAAGGGCAGAGCAGTAGAATCGGTGGCTGCCTGTTTGGCTGCTGGCCTCAGTTGTTTACAGCGGGCCCGCTGCCTAGTGTAGGGTGGGCTGCCTGCCAATCCACCTGCTGCTTCCGCCTCCCTCAGAGGGGGCTGCCCCACCAGTGGTTATTTCACAGGGGATTGATAAGGAGGGGGGAAGAGGGTCTCCTGGTCTGTGCCGCCCTGCAAAATGGGGCAAAGCGGCACAGTGGACTTGGGAGGTTCTTTTGCGGAAGGTTTCTCACGGACTGCAAGAACTGCGGTCAGATCCTCCTGCCAAGGTGGTAGGATTACCTTTAACCAGGCGGGGGGTCTTCCACCAAATCCTGCCAAGTAGTTATATAGGGAGCTTGGTCAGGGTGACCAGGGTACATGGTCGGTACACGATGTCTTTAACCTAAAGAATAATCGGGAGGTGAAAAGTCCCTCCTGCAGGCCAGCCTATGCCAAAGGTCGGCCACTCCTTCCTGCAAAATATTTCTAGCCTGCTTCTTTTGACTGAGAGGCCCAGGTTTTGGGCCCTGTCCTTAAAATTCTGGAAACGGTCAAGGATTAGTGACAAAGGGTTCATTTGCGTTTGTCCCATCTCGTCCATCAAAACCGTCCAAAACAAAACAAACAACACACACAGCGAGCACAATGAAACAAATACCAGGCCTCTAGGGGACCGGAGGTAAAACTGAAAGTGGGATGACAGCCGTTTTGCAGGAGCGACTCACAACACCCGCTCAGAAAAACCAAAGGGATCGATTCCACCTGATCCCTGTCAGAAGGGACTGAGGATTCCACGTCCCAATCCCTGTCAGAGAGGGCAGGAACATCTTCTATGTCCCCTGGCTGGTGGTCCGCCAGTGCGTCCACCTAGACCTCTTCCCAGCACTACTGAACTCAGGCCCGTACCCAGAACACAAAGACAAACTGAAACATGAAACGCAGATACATATAACCTTTAACACTTACTGGCCCTTAGGATCAGTGTGTGTGTGTGGGGGGGGGTGTCTTGGGAATCCCGGACGAGCCCCCAAATGTTATGCCCAGATCAGAGTTCCCAAAGACCACTCAGGAGCCGATTTCCGATGCAAAAGCAAAAGGGCCTTTACTCAAGCTTGAGCCCAGACCCTCAGATCCCAGCGCAGCAGGACAGTGCTGAGGGCTCCCAAGTCTCTGCACACAGGGGTTTTTATTTGCTCTGATCACAGCGGGAGTGGGGGGGCTCCAACCGACAGTTCTTCTGATTGGTTGTCTTGCTTACAGGCAAGACCTGTTCACTTTCCTGTTTGCAGCTGATTGGTTCTCACTAGGGGTGGTTTTTTTCAGCAAGCAGCTGATTAGTTGGCTCTAACTAAGGACGGTTATTTTCAGTAAGTGTTTGCAGTTTTTACCATTACTGGCCTGTTCTCTCAACACCAAGTCAGCTGCCCAGTGACACCTGTCTGCATACTGTCCCAGAAATGCCAGCAAAGAAGGGAACAAAGAGCCCTGCTCTCAGGGGGTAGGAGGAAGGAAAAGCAGAAGCAGGGACACACAGGACAAGTGGCATGGCAGGAGCAGAAATGCAGGCGGCCAGGGAACAAGGGAGGGCACCAGATTGGGGGGATGGCAGAGGGGCAGGGACAGGGGCAGGTCACAGGGGCCCTTTGGTTTGCAGTGCACCATCAGACCCTGAGACCAAAGCTTTAGAGGCCTGAAAGGGGGTGAAAATAGGAAGGACAACCCCCCTCCACCTTCTCCTGTCCCCATGTCCTCCTCCTCAGCCCCTCCTGGTCAGCAGTATCCCCCTCACCAGCTCCTTGCTGTGTGGGCATCGCTGCCTCCCCCACATCACACGTCTTTTCTTCCCACTCTGCTGGGCTAATGGTGCCTAGCACTTATGGAGTAGAAGGGTAAGGGGGTGGGATTATAAAAATCCTGGTGCCCAGAGTCACCTCTGAGACCATATTCTCCAAAGTCTTAAAACTTTAGGGTGTCACTGTATTCAGAAATGGAGCCTTTGCAGACATGATCAGTTAAAATGAGGTCACACTAGAACAGTATGGGCCTGACCCCTGCGACTGGTACCCTCCTCAGAGGCCACATGGTGGCAGGGCAGAGATGGGCACAGCACAACCACAATGAAGGACACTAAGAGTCTCCAGCAGCCGAACATGGCAAGAGACCCTCCCTACAGTCCCCAACACCCTGACCTCAACTCCTGCCTCTGGGCCACAAGAGAATAAAGCTGCTGTTTAAGCCCCAGTTTGTGGTAATCTGTTACTCTGGCCCTGGACAACTCACCATTCAGCAACCGAGTCTGGCCAGGACGAGTGAGCCTGGCCCAGACTTTTGGGAAATAGCCCTGGCTGCCCAGGTATCAGGACAGCAACAGCTGACCAAGAGGTGCAGACCCAGGGCAATGCTGGGGTGTGGCCTGAACAGTGGCCAAGAGCAGAGAAAGAACACAGAGCTACCTGCCAAGTGTGTCTGAGCACACGCAGGGACAGATGTCCTGGGGGGCAGGTCCCACAGAAGGGATTCTCCCTCTAGGTGGCATCTGTTGGGAGCCTCCCACCCTGTAGCCAGATACGCTGGGCCCTCCCACTGGTCTCTTCCCACTGAATCCCAGTTCCCCACCCAAGTGCCATCCCTAAAGGCTGGCACCAGGGTACCTCCAGGCCCCAGGAGACCTTTATCTGCTGTTTACCCTTTAAATCAGAAAAAGGAACCCAGGGCACAAGGGTTTTAAAAGTATGAAAACCACAGAACTAAAGAACTTCTTTATCGAGGAATTCACACTCATTCTGCAACAGTTAGGAAATGCACACACAAAATCAGGAAAATGTCCTGCAGTCATCCGCAGAGCATGACTGCCTCTGGGCTCTGTCAATGCCCGCAATTTGTTTCTGGGAAAAATGGGCCAATCCCTCTGCGCAGCAGCCAACATGGAGCAGTGATCAGCCATGCCCAAGCTGGCCAAATGGCACTAAACTCGTGGGATGGGCTCTTTTGAAGCTGGATGCACTGTTGGTCCATGCAGCAGCCCCTCACTGGGCTTCAACCGCACCTTGCCCTTGGTCCCCTAAAGAACGCTGGGGTAACATCCCCACATCTGAGGCTCTCACGCCACTTTCTTGGGATAGTTTGCATCATTTCTGTGGATGGCACACCTGCTGCCTCCACCTTCGCTAATCTAAGTCTCTGCTTAACTATTTCCTCTGCCAAGGCCCTTGCAGCTCTGCACCACACATTATGCAGCTCTCTGGTCACCATGGCTGGGCCATCCTCCCAGGTAGGGAGGCCCCAGAGGCCCCCACAGCCCTAGGGATGCCTAGGGAAAGAGCTGGAGGGCCCTGGCTGGGCCTCAGGCATGGAGACACACTAACCCTCACATCCCACACCCTGAAAGTGAAGGTTTGCCGATCAGCACTCCTGTAGTCTGACAACTAGCCCCAAGCCCCAGTGCTTCCAACAACCCACATGAAGCTATCTGCTTCTGGGTCAGTGAGGCTCCAGCAGCCTGTGGAAGGACCCCTGTTTTACATGAGGGTGAGGCCTAGGCTCCCAAGAGGCCAGGAGATGCGTGGAACTAGGGGCAAGACCTGGCAAAGAGTGGGGTGGACCACAGGGGCAGGAATGGACGAGCTCCATCTGTACCTGGTGGGTAGGGGAGCCTGAAGGGACAGCCCTGGCAGGATGATAGCCCCTCTGGGCGACTGCAGAGACTCATGCTGAAAGCAATAACAGTGAATGGCAGAGGGGCTCAGCACAGCAGGCCTGGCCTGCCTCCTAGTCAAGAGCCTGCACAGTAACACATTTCTTTACCAAACAACGCTGGGATGCTGTGCTGCCTCAGTGTCAGAGGAGAGGCTTGCCTGGTCTGCCTGGTCCAGGTGTCACACATGCAGCCCCATGGACCCTGGGGGCGGTACATCCCAGTCTCAGCAACAGGGGCACAGATGAAGCTCATGGAGCACTTTATTGGTCCTCACCCATTCCTTGCCCATCCCAACATGCCAAAAAGGCCTGGGGCTGTCTGCTCTGGCCAAGGCCTCAGTCCTTGAGAGGCCGGCTGTTCTCCCGGCTCCTCTGCCTATGGGTGCGTCTTGAGGAGTTATGGCACACCCGTCAGCCTGTTCGTTCAGAGCTCACTGCCGCCTTCCAGCTGCATCTGGCGGGCCAGCTGCTTCCCAATGGACAGCAAGGGGCTGGCTCTATAGGCTGGACTGGCCAGCAGCTCCCGAAACCGGGTCCTTTCTTCTTCACTGAAAAAATGGAGACCAGAAGTCAGCAGATGGGGACACAGGGGTCCTCAGTCCCCTGAGTGGGGGAGCCAAGGGCGCACATTCAGCACCCCCAGGACTTAACATGGCCCAGCCACCCCACACCTAGGTAACTCACTTTAGGACAGCTGGGACAACAGAGTGGACTACAGAGGCCTGGTGTTACCATGGGACTGAGCGCCAGGGCCTCGGAAACTTCCAGCAGGAGGGGAGTGCCTACTGCCTCTGTCTCTTGGCAGAGGCAGGCCCTGGTGCCCCTGTGCCCACTCATAGAGTTTACCATCAGGGTCCTGCCCACCCAGGGGACAGACAGGGGCTGCTGCTCAGGCAGGAGGCTGAGGAAGAGACAGTAGCTCATATGCCCGCAGGTGCCAGCCTTGTGTAAGAGATGCCTCCCCACACCGTGTGACCGAGACAGATGCATAGGGAGTGGAGGGTGGTGGCCAAGGTATGTGGGCAGGGGCAGCAGACAGTCCAGCTCTGGCCATCCCACTTGGCCCCTGCTCTAAACCTGACAGGGTCAGGCACCTCCTAGAGGCCAGTGCCTGCCCTGCCACCTCTACAGCCCAGCTTGGCCACGTGCACCCCAGCAAGCTGCCCTATGGATGGCAAAGGTGACTAAGTGTAAGCTCTTGGACAGGCCTATGCCAGCCCCTCCAGGAGGCTAAGCCACCTCTGCCTATGTGCCTCATATACGCAACCCAGAACCAGTCCAACCCCCTGAGCCCTGGTATTCTCAGATATGAATGGGGACACCCCACCCCCCTAGAGGACTAAGCTGGGTACTCAAGCTCAAAAGCCATGTGGGACCTGAGCCCTGAGGGCAGCTGCTCAGTAAGAAGAACAACACAGGAGGACTAGAAGTGTACAGCCAGCTGAGCCCTGTGCTCGGGTACAAGGCTGCCAGGCTCTTCTGGTCACTGAGTGACATCTCCTGCCACTGACACCCTAGCCCTGACATGAGAACTGGGGCTTCTCCTTATAAGGTCAGCAGTGAGATGGTCAGTTGCAGCCTGGATGCGCCTATCCGTGAGCCCACGGCTCTCGCAGGGTGGGCTAGCCAGGGAGAGAAGGGTATCCACGAGTGATGTTATGTAGAGTCTGTGCACACACAGGATATGGGGGGTGGGGTGCATTCTGGCCCCAGGCAGCCATGTCACCCCGTGCTGGGCCAGGCCCCAGTGTCACCCTGAACCACTAGAAAGAGAGGCTTGTAGGCAGAGACCTATCACCTGTGAGCACAGACCCTCCCTTAGTCTAATGACATTGAGTGGTGGTTGGTCTGCTTGCTCTCAGGGAGTGGACACAGGCCACGGGCCACCAGCCACTAGGAACTCTAAGGCACATGCCCAACATGCGACCCCTTGAGTATGACCAGGTGGCAGGGGGACACTCCTTCCCCCTGGGGGCTCAGAACCAAAGGGGCCAGTCACTGGGACACGCACAGGCTCCTGGCCCCACGCACAGCATGGACAGCTGCTTCCTTTTCTCCAAAACTAGTTAGGACCAAGAAACCAAACTCAGTCTCTGAGCTGCATCCAAACAGCAACAGCAGAGACAAGGATGATGCTGCCAGCCCAAACCAGAGAGGTGGGGCTACTGGACAGCTGAGGGCCCCCGGGACCGGTCTGCAGTACCCAGCAGAGGGAGGGGCAGGGTTGAGCCAGGATGGGGCCCTCGCTGTCTGCATAGGCCACCTTCCAACCCACTGGTTCAGGAAGGGCCAGTAGCAGCGACAAGGAACAGGCACAAAATCCATCAGCAGACCCAGCCCCACAGAGGCCAGGACTGGAGAGCTGCCAGAGCCATTGTGCCTATGAACAGCTCAGCACCCTAGCCTGGGCAACACAGTGAGGCCTCGTCTCTAAAAATAAAAAGTAAAACCCTAAGAAGACAATAAAAGTTTAGGGTTAAAAAGTACCTAGAGTTAAAGTATGAAGACAGACCACAGAGGTCTGACAAACACCTCATCAGTACCCCGACAAGAAGCAAAGTAACGATGCAGAGCCAACAGTAGAGTCCCAAAACAAGTCATCACTAAAAACCACTGATTCATAAATTAAAAGGGCACAACTGGTCTCAGTAACAATTGACATAGAATGTTCTATCTGAAAAATTACCTCAGCAAAGTCACTTCAAAAACAAAGAAAAAAAATCATTTCAGCAGTGAACTAAAACAATCCTATAGACAATCCCTGCAGAGTCCGGGCCCCTCAGATTCCGCAAACCAAGCACAGTGGAGACTGGAGCAAGTCTACAGAGGCCAAGACTGTGTGGTCTCTAAACTCTGCATCCAAGAGGACAATCAGATACTACTGTGCACAAACAACAGGGGCTAATGGGGCTGAGATGCAGCCAGCGGAGGGGTGGCGAGCCCAGGGCAATGGCCTGTCCGTCCTCATCATCCTGGCTCAGGAGGCTGATGGCACCTCAGTTCTGGTGCAGGGGAGGGCAGTGCAACTCCCCTCAGAAGCTTCCTGAGGAGAAGCTGGCCCCCAGTCTTGATTGCAGGATACCGCAGACTTCTAAGTGGGGTATACTAGGGTCCAAGATCAGAAACAGGGAAGCAGCTGTGGGGGGCCCTCAGGGAGGGCTGGTACTCACAGGAGTTGGCGTCTCTGGGCTGCACTCATCCGGCTGAGTTCGGCGGGCCTGGGCTTGCTTCCTGCCCTGCTGTGAACACAGAGAAGCCGCATCACCTCAGCCCCACGGCCTCCCTGGAAAACCCTCCCCAGGGCAGACCTGGCTCCCTAGTTCCCAGAGCACCTACTACGGGGCCTGAGGTGACTGGATCATCACACCACCACAAGTTCACACTGCACTCTGGCTGTGGAGGCTCAAAAGTCAACTGACCACAGACCCAGGCTGAGAGTAATGGGATCCAGGGACCTGCCTTATGTCCTTTGAGGTCCCAAGTGATATGCAATGAATGACAGATGTTTCAGGACACAAACCAGAGGAAGGAGCAGGCCACACAGACAGCCTGGCCACACACACTACCCCTCACCCCCCACCAACGCGTGCCCACCTAGCCCCTAGTGTCTCTTTAAACACAGGAAATGAGGTGTGTAGGACGTGCACTGTTTCAGTGTGGGCTGCTGCCCTGCCCCTCCACATCTGACCACAGGGCAGGCACAGGCCCCTCAGGTCCACCCTCTATGGAGGACACCAGCCCCATGTGGAAGTGCCCTTGTCAGGGTGGCCTGCTGCCTGCCACCTGCTGGGACGTCACCTGGTGACAGGTTCCTAGGTGCCCCTGTCCACTCACTTCTTCCCACTGTGACCTTCCACACCACCGAACTGGGCCTCCATTGAGGGGAGGTGGGCCAGAGAGTGCTGGGCAGCTTGGCACAGGCTGCATTTGTCTCTGACTCAGCCCCACAGCCCCTATCTTGTTGGATCATCTCTCTTTAGGGGACCTGTGATCTCTGGCAGCCTGTGTGGCCCCCCACAGTCAGCGTGGCCACGGCAGCCCACCAACCTGGCTGAATGTTCAGAAGGGACGAGTGACTCAGGGCCTTGGCAGTAAGAGAAGAGCCTCCAGGGCTACACCAGCTTCCTCCCACAGGGCTGCCACCCACATGTGTGTGTGTGGGGTGGGGGGCAGGATGCAGAGAAGGAGGGAAGGGCAGAAGGCCTGCTCAGTCCTCAGGCCACACTAAATTTAGCCTCTAGACCAGAAGACCTGATCTTTTATTCATGATTCTTGTAAAAGAGGAATGAGAGATATTTTATGTCTACTCAAAATAGTGCCCAAGCTCCCATGTTCTTTTCACCCTCGCTCCTGGGCTGATTTGGAAGAGGACCACCAGTCCCAACTCCCAGCCCTCACCCCCACCACAGCTGTCTGCGATCCTAGTGATTCCCCCAGGCACCTCTTCTGGGCCAGCCTCAGCCTGGATGCCACAGCTCTGTTCCTTTCGCCAATTGGCCTCGGTACCCACCCTTGAGCAGCCCAGTATCCCCCACCCTGCAGAAGGTTCCACAAAGGACCTCCAGCAGGCCCCAGTGCTGCCTGAATCCCCAATGGGCCTGGGCAGCCTTCTCACCTGGGAAACTTCAGACCTCAGACATTCAGCCCATCTCCAAAGAGGTAACCAGCAGGAAGGCCAGACTGATGCCTCCCAGGGGAGCGTCCCCTTTCCACAGGTTTCTCAAGAGCTAAAGATGCTGTAGGTAAAGTGTTCGGCTGTGGTCACTGGACAAGTGGACCCCAGAGAGTCAGCACCCTCCATGACATGTCTTCCGCGGGTCCAGCAGTGGGAAGCCACAGAAAAGGCTTCCCTGAATCCAGGCCTCGGCCTGCCCTGGGCACGGCTGTCACCAGCCCCTGTGGCATTCCGTCCGAGCAGCAGCCGTGATGTCACCCCTTTCTCCCCACCTCAGGAAGCCCCTGAGGGCCTGCTCCGCACACCCACTGCTTGGCTCCCCTAAGGATGGATCAACTAGCCCAAACCAGACACCACCTGCTCTAGGTGGAAACGGCATGAGGCAGTGAACAGCAGGCCTGGGCCTCAGGGGTAGGGGGGGTGCCTACCGTCAAGCCCTCACACCCCTAATGCTCCAAGGGACTCTGAACTCATAACCCTGGGACTTGACCCCAGCTGGTGGCCTGGTGCCCTCAGACATGCTCTGGGCTGAAGAACAGAAGCTCTAAGCAGACCTGCCCAAAGACCCGCAGCCCAACCAGCCAATCTGGTGACCTGGCGCCATCACATGCAAGTGCTGGAGAAGCCACATCCCATGAGGCCTCAGTGTCCCTGAGGGTAAAATGTCACTGGACACTGCATGATCCTGGCAACAAAGGGGAAGATCACAGGTGCCCTAGTAACACCTGCTACAGACTTGAGGGAAGTGTCCACCTCACATCCTGCACACTCAGGAGCCACTGGGCGTGGGAGACCCAAAGGCAGAGACCTACGGAAAGAACCTCACAGGCCTCACAGTGACTTCCGACACCACATCCTGCCTCCATCTGGGAGGGTGGCAGCAGGAGAGAGGCTAGCCCAGCCTAGGGTGCAGCTGAAGCCCACAGGAGGTGGCCTCATGATGGTACACAGGTCAGTGCCCACATGTACAGCTTTCTGCTGTCAGCTCGGGGGCTCTGGAGGCAATAGCCCCCCAGGAGTACTTGGCCCAGGTCTTAATACCCTCTCCAAGATTCCCTGGAGAACAGGCTGATTCTAGGACTGGACAGGAAAGTCCCAAGATGAGCCATGAGCACCTGCTGGTGTCAGGCAGTGGGAAAGCGCTAAAAAACCAACTGCCATCAACAGGGTGTGTCAGAGGAACCTAGGAGCCAACTGGCCAATGTTGGAACAATTCCAGCAATAAAATAAAGTATAATAATACTGGATTACAGCCCAGAGAGTAAAATAAACATCCACGAGTCCACACAGACATGAACAAGTGACTGATAAATAACGGAGAAGAGATAGAGCTCCTTCTACAGAATCCCAAATAATGTCTGAAGATCCTGTGTATGGGGCGGGGGCGCGAGGGAGCATAGGCCCCAACCTGAGTGTGGGCCAAGCACAGCAACTTCCTTCCAAGAGGACGGTGTGGAAAGGGGAGAGAGTCTCCCTCCAGGGATAACCTGGCCGATGCCAGCCCCGACCCAGGACAGCATCTCAGAGACAAGCTGTGTCTACGTGTGTGCCCTGAGACCAGGTGGTGACAAAGGCAGGTCCCCTTGGCTCTTCCTCCCATATCCCACACCCCGTAACCCGCACCAACCCCTTGAGGAAAGCATCAGACAGGTCCTCACTGAGGGGTACCCAACAAAATGCCTGACAGTCCTCTTCAAAACTGCCCAGGTCATCAAAGACAAGGGATGTCTGAAAAAGTCATGGCCAGGCAGGGTCTGAGGAGACATAACAATTAAATGCTACTAGAGTCCTGGGACAGGACATTGGGGGATCTAAAGCATGGGCTTTAGTTAATTATTATTTTAAGCAAATTATTAGGTATCAATATTGGTTCCTTAACTGAGAAAAATTTACAGCATTAACTAAGATGTTATTAATAAGGGAATTTGGTATGAAGTATATAGGAACTTCCTATCATTTCTCTGTTAAGTCTAAACTGTTTAAAAATAAACTTTGAGGGCAGGCACAATGGCTCACACCCACAATCTCTGTACTTTGGGAAGCCAAGGAGGTTCACTTGAGACTAGGAGCTGGAGACGAACCTGGACATCCCAAGACCCTGGTCTCCACAAAAAAAGTTAGAAAAATTAGCCAGGCGTGGTGGCTGCTCAGGAGGCTGAGCGAGCAGAACCACTACAGCACCAGAGCTGGAGGCTGCAGCAAGGTGAGATCAGACCACTGCACTCTAACCTGGGCAACAGAGCAGGACACTGTCAAAAAAATTAAAAATAAAACTAAATTAAAATTAAATAAAGCTTATTCAGAGGCTCCCATAGTGCACGCTGCTTGAGACACAGTTGAGGACAGACAGGGCCCAACAGGAGGTTCTGGGGCTGAGAGCAGGTGGGAGCCTTCTCCCATGGAGACCTGGGCGCAGCCTGGCACATGCAGCTCAGCCCAGCCGCCCGATCAGCTGCAGCACATTCCTCTCAAGCCTGGCGGACTGTGGTGTTTATGCAGCTCTCTCCTTTTTGGAAGCTCCAAGCACATTTTTCAGATGAGAAAACTAAAAACAGGGAGAGGACCCTTGACCAGGGTCACATTTTTGTTTAAGAACCAGGAATGAAATCTGCATCATTGGCTGTGTCCAGTCATCAAGTCTTGACTCTGCTGGCTGCCCCTCATCTGGACCTAGCATTCTGGATGCTTCCCTCTCAGGAGGCAGCCTGGGACTGCTGGGTTCTGCAGCATGTCACCCACCACCCCAGTCCTGACACTGCACACAGCCTCTGCTTCCTCCCCAGATGGAAATTCAATAGGAGAAAGAAAATTATTTTTTAAAAAACAAAATTAGATACGACACAAATAAATGATGAAGGTCTAGCAACTGGGACAGAATAGAAAGACCCTGGCTTTCCCACCTGTCCCCTAAAGATGAGGCAGAAGCCCAGACTCCACACCCTGGTGTCTAGCACATCTCCTGGCACCCACGCCTGGCCAACAGTCCCCTCCACAGCCAGCCTGCCTTTGGAGTGCACATCTCCAGGCACAAAGAGCCTGAACACACACCTCTGGGAGATAGCCGGCAGGCAGCAGCTTATCATGGACACGTACTCCTCTGAAAGAGACAAAGATGGCAGCCACTATCATCCTAGCTGAGCCAGTCCAGAGCCCACAGGCCATGGAGAGTGGCGAGGCCAGAACAGCATCGTCAAGACACATAGAACCTGCAACTGGCAAAAATTTTGGCCAGTTCTGTGGCAGCAGGTCTAGGAGGACACCTGGGAGGTGGGCTTACGCATAGGGGATGTGGGGTCACACGGTCAGGCCAGCAGACGTGACCACTCACACACTTGAGGCACAGAACCGCATCCCTGCTCTCAGTAAGGGACACAAGAGAGGCCCCACTTCTTCCCTGCAGATGCTGGAAAAGCACAGCCAGACCCCTGGCCGGGCCAAGCCTGCATCCTGCCCTCGGAGGATAGCTGCACTCATGCTGGCCTGGTCCTGCCCCACAAGCCCTGGGTACAGGGGACGGCTTGTCTCACAGGCACTTCCCCTATAGGAGGGACAGTGACCACAACAAGGGAGCACTTTTGAAAGGGAACCAGGGGAGTGTGGTGTTGGGCAGTAGGTCTGGAAGGTCGCCTGAGAATGGAAGGCTGGGGTCACCACCTGCAAGAGGAGGGAGAGCCTAGTGGTGATGTGGGAGGACAGCAACTGCAAAGGCCTCAACTGGGCACTCTGTTGCTACAGGGACATTGCAGGGCAGAGGCTGTAGTGGGGACATGGGGGCAGGGGGCAGGGGGCAGTGGAGTGTCAGCAGTTGCCGATCTTCTCCTGAAATGTCCCCAGACAAAGCTCACCCCAAGGATGGTGCCTAGAGCATCTCAGGCCTCCATGGGGTGGGTAGCTGGCAGCCCATCGCCCATTCCATCCCCCAGTGGGAGGAGCAGCACTTGGACACTAACCAGTTGACCTGGCGCTGGTTGCCGGCCTCCAGCCCCAGGAGCTCGGGCAGGGCGTCCCTCAGGGGCTGCAGGTCCCCCACCACAGCTGTCGCCCTCCGCCTCTGCATCTCTCTGCGCTGCCGCTCGGCCAGCTTTATGGCTTCAATTTCTGCGGGAGGAGGAGGAGCAGCAGGTCAGAGAGGAGCAGAAGAGGAATTGCAAGCACAGGAGCAAAACCCAGCAGAGGCCAGGACTATGCAAGCCGTGAAGGTAGCCCTGCCACTCCTGTTTCTGCTGTCACCTATATTCCCCCCCGGAGCCCTTGGGGTGAGCTGGCTCCAAGTTATTTTTTCCTTAATCACAGAGATCAGCTTTTTAATTACAGGCCTGATTATGAGACAGAAGCTGCAGGCACTGAGGATCTCTTCTTTCTGCAAAAGGACACTGCCAAAAGTGGCCTGAGCGTGGGGTGGGGGATGAAGAGCAGGCAAAGGGAACGGAAGTGGCCCGTGACGTGGAGAGAACCAGTCACTGGTTGGACAGCTGGACGCTCCTCTGTACCCGTGTAGTCAAGACAAGAACCAAACACCTCCTTCAAGCAGCAGGAGGGAGGATGTGGGTTCCAGGCCCTATAACACCAGTACCAGAGCAAGAATGCCAAACCCAGGGCACACAGGCCTGGCAAGGTGGAGCTAGGCAGCGCTGGGCTGGGCTGGGCAGGGCTGGGCCCTTGCTTCCCAGGGAAGACTGCTCCACAAGTGTTCTAAGGTGGGCAACGTCCCCTATCCCCCATCAGGCCAGGTGACCAAAGAGGAAGGTCTGAGATGCCCACCCTAACCAATCCAAAGTTGGGGACCACCTGGCCCTGGGTCCCTCACCCCAAATTGCTGACAGGGTCCAGGGGCAGGCAGCTAGCACAGCTGTGTGCCAGCTCAGCTGTGTGCCAGCTCTCAAGAGTCTTGGGCAGAGGTGTTCAAACTATGGCCCGCAGGCTGCCTAGAACATTTATCAGGCCCACCGGGTGTTTTTGCCGCCGCTGCCTGTCCTGCTTAGCAGCTGACTCATCCCGGGGCCCGCAGTCCGTTGCTCCAACAGTCTGAGGGACAGTGAACTGGCCCCCTGGTCTTGGAGATGATTAGGGTTTACAAGGTGCTTCGCCAGAGCCTTTCCCACACCGCCTGGAGTAGGGCAAACAATTTACTCAGCACTTTGTCACCAAGGTCACCACAGGGATCAGAGGATTAGACAGAATTCACAACCATTCAAAGCACAAACTGAAACCACCAAGAGGAGCAAGTTCCTGGGCAAAAAACCTACTAGGAACCTACAGTGAATCCCACGTTTCACGGCAACACGAGATACAGTGATGAGGTGGGGGGGGCAGGTGGCAGGGACAGGGTGGTAGGGCAGGTGCTCATCACCTCAGTGCTGGTGCCCCGGCCCCTGGAGAACACACCCCAGCTACTGCACAGCTGCGAGGACAGGAGAGCGCCATTCTCCCCAATTAATTCATAAAATGCTGCTTTAACCAAAATCTCAAAAGGATTTTTCACCAAACCTATAAAGCTAGTTCTAAAGCTTATTTTTGAGAAAAAAAAAACTAAATGCATAAAAATAGTAAAAACATTTTTAAAAAATAAACAGGAACAATGCCCAGGTGCGATGGCTCACAATCCCAGCATTGTGGACAAGGCAGACGGATTACCTGAGCTCAGGAGTTTGAAACCAGCCTGAACAAGAGCAAGAGCCCATCTCTAAAAATAGCTGGGAGCCCTGGTGAGTGCCTGTAGTTCTAGCTACTAGGAAGAGTCATCACTTGACGCCTACTGGTGCAAGAGGATCACTTGAGCCCAAGAGATGATGTTGCTGTGAGCTGTGATGACATCATGGCACTCCAGCAAGGCTGAAGAGCAGATAAAAAAAAGAAAAAGCAACAAGAAAGGGGGACTACTGATACCACATGAAAGCAACTCATAAAACGACAGAAATGCAGACCGCAGAGGTGCAGGCAGATGCTCAGGGACACAGTGGACGTGACAAGCTGCCCCTGACAAGTCAGTCATCCTCTGGGGGGAAATGCCGGCTTCCTCTCTCACAATGTTCCTAAAAACCAATTATGTGGAAATTAAATACCACAATAAATAAAGAGGACTCAAAGCCCAAAATATGCAATACAGGAGGAGCCACCCAGTTCCACTAGAAAACCAGGGAAAGAAAACTACAACCCTAAGATGCTGTGCTTCACCTGCCACATAGGCAACTTTAAAAACATTTGATAATGTGAATGTTAGAGCCTGGGGAGCCGCCAGACAATGTGAACCAGCCAG